ATGTCATTCTTTCCCTGTATTTGAGGAGCTAGGGAGTAGGGACACAGTAGTAAGTGTATATCTCTACCTGTACAACAGTTGATTCAATCCTCTATCTATGATTCAATGAAGAGGTTTTTATTACAAGCACCAGGTGGGATTTTAAGTAGAAGAATGTGGGACAAAGGAAAATGAGATATTAATGTCTTCTTTTTTCTATGTAGATCTAGTGGAGATGGAGAAACTTAAATCAAAGGGATACTTGTAAATGATAACCAGATCAGTTGTAAAGGTAAGGAAGGAAGGAGAGAGAGAAAGGGAGAGTTTTCCCGCTAAATTTTGGCATAGTGCTCATGCAGCTTCTCCTCAAGTTCCTCAAAAATCTGGTCAAAGTCCGACCTGTATACAAAATGGCTGCCACGACTTTTGCAGCCTTACTATAAAAGTTGTGGCAGCCATATTGAAGTGGAATGAATCCTACTTAGTAACACTACCACGTTGCTAAGCAGGATTTGTCCCACTTCAAAATGGCTGCCACGACTTTTGTAGTACATGGTCTCGGGCCAAATTTTGCAAAAATTGAAAAAGAGAGCATTCTACATTTTTATTACATTTTCTGATACATACATGTATATATGTACATGTACTTATTATGTAGAAAGTTTAAGTTGATTCCGATGAAAATTGTTTTTTACTAATTTTTAAAGTTGCTCCAAAATCGGGCCAACGACCCAAGGCTATAGCCTTTGCTTACAGGCCAAATTTCATCTTTATTTTTATAATTTTTTCTAATACATATACATGTCCTTATGCTGTGTATCAGCTTTGAGTTGATTCCGATCAAATTTGGATTTTTTATGAATTTTTAAAGTTGCTCCAAAATCCAGCCAACGACCCAAGGCTATAATAGCCTTTGGTCACTGGCCAAATTTCATCAAAAATGGCTAGGAGAGAATTCTTTATTTTTATAATTTTTTCTAATACATATACATGTCCTTTTGTTCTGTACCAACTTGGAGTTGTTTCCGATCAAATTTGGATTTTTTTGAATTTTTAAAATTGCTCTAAATGCCATGTACACTTACATGTACTTGTACATGTGTACATGCATCAGTAGGAGCTTTTGACCAATAGCCCATTCCTGTGGTCTATTGTACATGTACATGACATGTACATGCATAAGATTCCCTCTTTGTCTCCTTAACTTTTAATCTTCATTTTCCTTCTCTCCTCCTCCTTAGGATGTCATCATTAAAACACTAATATCAGCTCATCCAGTCGTCTGCCACAACTATCGGTCCTCATTCCCTAATCACACGAGAGGCAGTGCCTGCTTTGAGATACTCGGCTTTGACATACTCCTAGACCGCAAACTCAAGCCCTGGCTGATGGAAGTGAACAGGTCCCCCAGTTTCCATACTGACTCCCCACTGGATAAGGAAGTGAAAGAGGCGTTGATATATGATACACTGGATCTCATTGACCTCTTTGCTAATGATAGGAAGAGATGTCTGGAGGAGGAGAAACAGAGAGCAAGGGATAGGCTGCTACAGAAGGCAAGATCTAAGGACTCAAGGTACTGGATAGAGAAATGAAGGAGAGAGAGAGAGAGAGGGAGAGAGAGGAGAGGAGAGGGAGAAGGAGAGAGAGAGAGAGGAGGGGGAGGGAGAAATTGTAGTTAGTGTATATACATGTACATGTAGTGCATATAGTGCATAAACATAGGCAATGAGTACTGTTAGATTTGAGTAGGTACATGCATACATGTACATGTATATTGTACATGTATTATATACATGTAGTATAAATGTACATGTAATTATTAAAGGAAGGTGATTAAGTTATCCAAAATTTTTACTAATTTTACCCTCAAAAATTAATCAACTTTTTATCTTTCTCACTCTTCCCTCCTCTAGCCAAGAGAGAGACATTAGACTGAAATATAAAGCTCAGTTTGAAAAATATGAAGAGACTCACTGTGGAGGCTATAGGAGGATATACCCACGAGATGGGAACGAGGAGAAGTATCAGAAATACTTTAATCAGAACACCTCACTCTGTACCCAGACCATAGCCTCTAGAGCAAGGGCTGATCTAGCTAGACAACTAAGAGAACAAGTTGAAGCAAAACAGAAAGAACTGGAGAGGTAGGGGGCAATAGCTAAGCCTAGTTCAGAATATGATCTTTGGCTGCTACATGTACTAATAATTAATACACAGTGGAGTGAGAGTAGGGTATACATGTACATATTTAGAGTACACACTGTAGACAACTGTAAAAGTGGAATATTTTTAAGGTGACTTTAATTGTACAAAAAAAAGAAAAAAGCAGAATTAAAAACCAGTTAATTTTTTTGTTAGTTATATTATTTGTAGTAACTCGCATGTAAGCCGTAAAATTAAAAACACGTAAAAAATTAAAAAATTAAATGATAAAAGCAGTAAAATA